AGGCACCGTATCCGCCACCGCCACCGCCACCACCGTGGTGAAAATCGCCACCCCCAAAGCCTCCGTCGCCGCCGCCGCCGCTATGGTGAGAATCGCCACCTCCATAACCGCCGCCACCCCCAAAGCCACCACCACCACCTCCGTGATGAAAATCGCCACCCCCACCGCCGCCACCGCCACCACTTCCGTGATGAAAATCGCCACCCCCATAGCCTCCACCGCCACCACCGTTGTACGACGATCCGTGGTCATCGCCTAACGAGCCATGATCACCTCCGAAACCACTATCGAAAGATCCTCCGCCAAAGGAGCCATGACCGCCTCCTCCATTGTAAGAATCTCCACCGAAGGATCCGTGATCACCGCCACTTCCGGAAGGCGCTCCATAGGACGACGAAGGAGCACCATAAGAAGACGACGGAGCACCGTAAGAAGACGATGGAGCACCATAAGACGACGAGGGTGGTGGTGGTGGTGGTGCTCCGTACGAATCGGAAGGACCTCCGTTCGGTACTCCGTAAGAAGTGGCAGGTGGCCCGTACTGTGGACTAAGCGGTGCCCTGAAAATATTTGCAATTAAATAATACGGATTGATTTTTGATCGTTTGATTAATTATTTATAGAATAACTTACTCTTTCTTCGTTCTTATCGGATCTCCAATGGTAGAGACGACGAAAAGGGATCCCAGCAATACCTGAAAATATGCAGAATTAAAATACATGTATAGATATTGACTCGTCAAGGATAAAAAGCCTTTGTTTTACGGCCAATTACACGGCAGTTCGACAGAAGTTATGCGCATCAACATAATCGACGTGTAGCTGTACAATAATTACACGCTTTTCGCATGATAATAGTTCGCGGTGCTGACACTAGGAATATAAAAATACAACGATAAACGCTGATCGTTCAATTAAAAATGCAGATTGGATGGGAAACGATAATTGCTCGGCTGATTACACCGCGTCTCTTTAATTAACGCTATACGACTTTTCACCGAGAGAATCCGATGTTAAGCATCTCCTCTGTGCTTCGCGCGGATTTCTATACCTCGTGCGATTTTATGAGCACGTCATTCAAAAATGAAAGTCTTTGGAAATTGGGTCGAGAGAACCCTCGATACTCTCATCTTTTATTTCTTTTTTTTTTGTTTTGTTTTTTTTTTTTTTTTCCCCAGCCGGGAGGATCGTGAAACCTTGTCCATCCATTAGGTTGGACCAAGCGAAAGTATAGGTATGCCATCATTTCGTCTTTCTTTCTTATTTCATTTTTACCCTCGAGCGATTTCGTCTTACATCCGGTTTTTTCTTGTTTCTTTGGCAGATACTTTTATTACAGGATAACCGAGCTCTTTGATTCGATGTAAATATTCCCCTGAATTTGTTCCTCATTCCTTTCTTCTCTTACGCAACTTTCCCTTTTGTCCAGTGAAAAGTGACGAGAGGTTTCTAGATATTTGTCAACTAGTAGAATACCAACAATACTCGTAAATATCTATGCAATAAACCAATCATCAAACAAATTTTATTCATGAGATCCTAAAATACAATACATACGTTTACTATGCTAGCAGCTGTACGATAATAACAATACCTGTTGACCTATTCTACTGAAATAATTAGAGAAACTCGTTATGCATTTTATTTCGTATGTGACGTGTATACGACGACGACATTACCATCTTGACCTTTTTCTCCTATCTCTTTTCTGTAGATCGTAAAATAAGAAGTTTTGAATGTTAGTTAAATATATTTTTGACACTGGACAAATAGTTAGATAGAATTCAATGTCATATTGAATCCTCCCCATCCTATCGTGACACGTTGATACACTTTCTCGCACGCAAAGGATCATGCGAAAGCATCAAGCGAGCAGAACGATTCGAATCTCTATAAAAAATGAATGATAATATTTGTATTTTACGATCAGAAGACTATAAAAATGTACTACGAACATAGATCGAAGTAAGACGTTGAAATTGAAAGATGATCACTTAATCGTCGGACAGAATAAACACCAAAATCACAAAACTTTCGGATTGTTCCTCAAGGATTGCACTGATCTCAACGCGCACTTGTTAATCGTAAAAATTGAGATAGAAGACTGACCAGTGCGAGCCGCATCCTCGATTTCCTGGAGTCCTCTCGTTCCCGACGATCAAACAAAAAGGAGCACCAAGTATTGGTGCTGTTTTGTTTTTGTTACGGTTCGTCACTCTTCTGACGAATTCCTTGGAACATGCGAAGCTTTTATAGTAAATGCGTTTCTCCAGTTAGACTTATAGATGCCCTAGGCATAAAGACATACATAGAGAAGTGGACGAGTAGACGGAGGAGGGGCATCAAATAGAGGAAGAGCGTTCTGTTATACGGGACTCCCAACTCTTTCATACCAAGCTACAACATCCTGAGTTCTCTTTTGGAGGGGATCCAACGAGGAGACGTCCTCGTTGCCCACCTCCTAGACGTGAAAAAAAAAAAGACAAGGCGAAGGAGACGACCTACCTTAGACTTTTTATCTCTAAATCTTTTTTATATATCTGGAAACGACAAGATATTTCAAAGAGAGAAATATATAAAATGGTTTTTTTATTCTTTTGAAAAAGGAGAAATAGCAAGAAGAGGCGATAAAATAGTTATGTAAAAAAGGAAGAAGAATAAAATGACAGGAAGTAACGTGTAGGTATACCTAGTGTACGTGTCTCGCAAAAATCCGATCTCATCCCATAAGAAAAACAACTATTTAAGAGATCGCGCTTTCACTATCGCGAGGATTCGTAGACACGCGCTTGAATAGGCTACGGTTAAGTTCAAGATCTTCTAGAAGAAAACGTAGCTCCGAAGCAGGAAGATTTGAAACGGGTTCCTTGCACAACGATCGAATTGCTTACCACTTGCGCAATTAACTACGAAGATTAGATACGACCACGTACGAGTTGTCTTCAGATTACCGTTAGTTTCTACAAAAAAAAAAAAATTCAAGGCGTGAAAACTAATTCGCTTTTTTTTCTTTTTCACTTCCAAAATAACTTGCTTGTTCTTCGACTTTTAACGGAATGAAGGAAGATATTCTTCCTAATTGCAAGACGAAACGTTTAACATCCATTAATACGCTTAGGCATCATTGAACTGGTTGCATCTTTGACTTTCTTTCGATCCGAAGTTATGGGAAGGAAGATCCATGCTCTTCCTTTCACTGGTTTCCTTCTCTATAATATATGAGAGAAAGATTACATTTTCATCGAACATCTTCTTTTCTATGCACCTATGTTTTCGATAGTAATCTCTTTTCTTCTTGATTTTCTATTAACTCGTCCTCTTGTGACGTTTCACTATGGAAGATTTATAGGCTCATTTTGTCTGATTCAATAAACGTCGACGTACGTCGACGTATGTAAGTGCGATTATAACTTTCCACTTACGAAAAGAATCCTACCGGTTTTCTCGAAACTACTTGGCCACTTCAAACTGCCCAACATAATCCTCATTTGGTAATTCTTCGACTTTGAAATCATCGAGTTTTATTGCTAGGAACTACAAAACTCTGTGGTCCGATGTTACATAGAATTAGACGCAAAACCGACAAACAAGCTGCAATAGAACATTGTGGATTTCACTTTTTTATAGCTCGCTTTCAAAAATGTACATATCGTAATATTCTCGATAGAAAAATCTTCTCAAGGAAAGTTCTTTTTGATATTTCCAACTTTCGTCAATCCTTCTATCAACTACGATAAAATATATCAATTTTCTTCGATATTTGCGAATAAATAATTTTTTCTTATAGTTCATTTACCTAACTTAGAACTTTAATGAAAGTACGAGGATTAAAATAAACCACCCGGCACGCGTCCTAATTTTGATTAATAATCTATATTTAATGACGGACATTTGAACAGCGAAGATCTCTAGAACGGTCATCGTCACGAAACGTTCACTTTCTTTCCGTGTTTACATGGCAATAATCAGCTGGTCATTTGCAACAGCAAATGACTCTCCATGTATCTATTATATATATATATATATACGTAGATCTTCCTGTCAATGAACTCTCCAAATAAACAAATGACCAAAAATACTTCAATTATTGGTTCAATAAAAATGCCATTTGAGTTTCAGCTTGTCTAAAACTAGGAAACAGGAAGCTATTTTTTTATTATTTATTTGTCTTATTCCTCTGTCATTCCTAACTTATGCGGGTTGCTCGAACACTGCTGGTGGAAAATTGTGCAATTAATCGACTATTTCGTAAAAACTCGTTAATTTGCAATAACAATTGAAACGTATGTAGGTACACGAGCATTTCAAAATCTCATGAAACAATTAGACCCGATATTTGATAATAATAATTAGTCGTTTTGTTTTTAGTTGCACGGTCATACCATGAATATCATGTTTTTATTTCGTAACATAAAACGTATTTGCGGTACGACGCTAAAGCGATCTGTTTCAAGCCATTCGTCTGTTACTACAAACTGACAGACTATTAAAATTCGCCAAAAATATCTTCTATAAACTTCATGCCGCGTATACCACAGTCGTTTCAACATCGACGTAGCATTTATTTTGTATTTTTGTCCTAATTACCGATATTTTTCTATATCTATGACAAGAAGTTTCTCATAGAAATATTAAAAATATCCAATTTGCCTTTGAACTACAACGAGATCTATTTTCGAAAAATACGTTCGTTTTTTCGAGATCATACATAAGTAAGTTACCTATGCACATACATATGTAAGTTATGAGAATTTCACAAATTCAACATTCCGTTCACGCGAGGAGAAATACTTTCTTCGTACGCACATATGTTAAGTAGATAGATGTACGTACGAATACATACGTACGTGTAAAAAAAAAACAAACAACTATTTTGTAAGTATTAGCGTAAACCTGCGCGAAAGTTACCGTAGTAAGTAATGCAGGGAAACTTTATCGATCGTAACCAATAGAGTCTTTAGAAAAAGTATTGTGTAAGAAATACGTGGATCTCTGTTTGATTTGTTCAAACTCATTTTGAGATTTCTTCATTTTTTTTTTTTTTTTTCATTTCAAGGATTACCAACGATCGAAGAAGAAAAAAAGGTCGTACTTATTTTCTTAGCGATTCGTTATCGGTCAACCTCGATCGTTGCATCCTGTCCATGCCTAGGATCGATCTTCCTAATTGCATCTACGCGTGTCAGCACGTCGTCGATATCTAATTGATCTCGCTAATGACGATGCCTTGTACATATACAATTTCGCAAGCTCCTCCTACGATTCACTCTTCTCAGCTGTAAAAAATGTGCGTCATCGAGTTCATTATCAAACAATATAATCATTTCCTAACATGACAAGCAAATTCTTTTGAATTCTTCGATAGTTTTGATTTAAATCAAAATCGTTGAAATCCAAAATGATAAATCTTCGTTGAGTGTGACTCGAGATAATGCATTAAGAGAAAGAGAGAAAGGCTGATTCGCCATTACAAATTCCGTGGGGTCAATAACTGATGATGAGATCCACATTTAAAAGCCTTTCTTGTATGTATTTAAGGAAATATTTGTATATGCGTTTACGTACTACATTGAGATACATAGTTAAGCCTCTAGAAAATAGTGAATAACGTTGTATCTCCGTCAGAGTTTCTTGTATCGTCTTGTCAACATTTCTTTTCTTTCTTTTTTTTTTTTTTTATCGTCCGTACAACAACCAAATACTCAAACGATGACGCCTCTATCTTCCACTTTCTCCTAAGTATCTATGTATTCCTTGCGATGTGCCGATGTGCCGATGTGCCGATGTGCCAACGATAATCGTCTAGCCATTTAAAATCTCTCCACGATTTAGAATAGAAGATGGACACGGTGTGCGCGAAAGAGACAGGACTAAAATCTTGTCATCTAATTTAAGCCCTTAAAATTCTATGCTATTCATTTTTCGATTATAATTTGGTTTGTTTGATATTATATTAGATAAAAATGGTAGTACCCTTGTTCTAAGTGGTACCGAATTGTGCAAGAACTGTTAGAACGAAGGAAGTGATGTAAATGTTGTACATGATGTTCGTGACATGAGTTCTTATTTTCCTCGTGTGACGTGCCTCATTTCTTTTTAACTTCGTAATCGTTTGTTGTATAACACGAATTACGCGCATTAACATATCTACTCGCGATTAGACATAGTTATGCCTAGAACATAGTTTACTCGCTACTTTCGAAAAATCAATTTATAAACGAAACTAACTTTTTTTCTTACCATTAATGAATAGAAACTACCCTTTTTATACTTTACAAGTAAGACTCAATAGAAGTTTAAATAAAACGTTCACATTGTCGAATGTCATGAAAGGTTTCTCCAGGCATGGAATGAACGTATTAATTGGTGCGTATGGCTCGTTCACTTTCGCACCTGCACGTACTTCACTCTCCAATTAAAGATGTAACTTTCTTCGGGTAAAAAAAAAAGTCACATGGCGATACCGCGATATGATCATTATACATTAATATTTTTATTTCATTATTTGCTAGAGTGCAAAGAGTTAATACTATCTGACTTAAAAGTAATACCCGTTTCTTATGTCGGTCAAGGTTTTAATCGAAAAACGAGATTTCAAAAACGACCATTTCTATCTTTCACTTTGGGTATAATCATCCGTGTGACACGTCCAAGTTCCTGAAATTCCGAAAACTGGAAATTAACCTGGAAATCAATCAATCAACTAAGTAGACATTTACATATATACATATATACATTTTTAAATCCGTCATTTAGCATAGCTTCCTGTACAAAGAAGGAAAGAAACCCGCCGATAGGGTTATCGCATGGTTATAGAAATATATTTACCTTGCCATTTCTTTAAACGCCTGGCAAATATACTAAGCTAAAGTCAAGGTTCAAGTTAGTCGGACTACTACCTGTCTTTACATTATTAACTTTCCAATTACCGTGAGAGAAGTAACAAGAAGACAGGTGATTGGAAAAGTATAATGTAAGGGGAAAAGATGTTAAAAATGACTTAACAATCGTGTCAAAAATGATTGTAAATGTAAAGAATGAAATCAGTTAAATAATCATTTACATTGGATTTGAAATGACACGACGGGACGCATAGAAAAGACGCATAAAATTGGAAGAAAGGAACCCCCCTCTCTAGGATAGAAATTTAATGCGCTGTGAATTTTCTCACAGTCGTAAACGTCGCAGAAACAATAATCAAAAGTCAAGACGACGGCGCAGACGTCGCCATCATAGATCTTATCAATAATCAAAGATCGATCGGTTAGTTGTTCTCACTGATTTCATTTAATCCGACTACTAATTCTGTACAAATGAAAACGAAAGGGGAATACATAAATAACGATTACACCCTATATGCTTGAAGATATTATTCTAAAATCGGTCGGCTTAAAGGAGGAGAGCAGTAAATCGTCGCGCTTTTTTGGAAGAGACAAGACGCTCCCCTCGTTTATCTTTCTGTTTTTCGAGAAGATGCCGAAGATAGTTAGAATACGTTAGCCATCATCCATATCCATATCCACTTTGATTTGTCTCTTGTAATTCTTTTCATATCACAAGAGCAGCGGGTATATAATAAAAGGAGTGAAAAGAAAATACAGGTCGTTGGCATGTTGGAAAATTTTTTCAAAGCAACGTCCCCCTGTTAGCGTCGCAAGGGATAAGAAGAAGAGTTTCCAAGAAAGCGAACGCCTTCTCGGTATAATTACCACAACTGCGTTTACATATTGGCTCGGTAACTGGCGGCGTGGGTGTTAGAAGAGCATATGTGTAAACAGTAATAAAACATGTTAGTCGTGGGGCTCCTGGACCGATCCGAAGCGTCCACCTCCTTCTCATCGTCAGCGAACACCAAACGAGAACGTTCCTTGAAAAGCTGCGATGGGCGGAGCTGGACCAACCTCTAAGATCTCTCCCTGTCAAATTAAAGACCCTAAAGAGCTTAGAAGAATCAGCTCAACGAGTCGGAGATCGCGGAAAACGCAGTCTCGCGCGAACGACGTGCTGGCACGTCGAATTTCTCGACGTTACACGTTCTAACATCGATGTACACAAAGATAAAGATATCAAACGAAATCAATGATGGAATCAAATGGGAATTTTTTATTAACGAGGAATCCAAGATTTCATTTCGAATTGTCGGGGAACAACCATTTGGCCAATTGGACTACAGAAATCTTACCAACGATCTGCACTTTATCAAGCGAATATTACTACAATCTTCCCGGAGTCCCGGAAATGTTGAGATTGGAGACTACTCGAACATCTACCAGTACGAACATGAACAGTCCTCGCCATCTCTCCTGTTGGACTTTACCTCTGATCGGTTACAAAGTAAACACCTCGCCTCGTTACGAGAAACCACCCTATTCTTACATAGCTTTAATAGCCATGGCTATTAATTCGTCACCGAAACAAAGACTCACTCTATCCGGTATTTACAAGTTCATCATGGAGAGGTTCCCTTATTACAGAGAAAATCGGCAGGGTTGGCAAAATAGTATTCGACATAATCTCAGTTTGAACGATTGCTTCGTCAAGATACCACGCGACAAAAGTAATCCTGACGAAGAGGAAGAACACGGAGGGGCCGCAGGTAAAGGCAGTTATTGGTGTCTCGATCCATCCGCCAATGAAATGTTTGAGCATGGTAATTACAGGCGTAGAAGAACTCGCAAACAACGAGCCTTTTTACAGAGTAAAGAGGAATCCCGAAGATCTTTCTTACAACTTTTAGACGATGATCGAGGAAATATCGAGAGATGGTGTGATAGCGTTGAAATTCGGAACACAGAGAACAAGATAGAAAAGGAGAAGGAAGTGGATTACGCGAGTGGTTCGGAACGTTGCATTAAATCGACCATGTTTACTATCGATAATATTTTAAGGAAGGCAACACCCGAGGCTAAAAGTTAAATTTTCATTACCACAAAACATCCTCTTATATCTATTTATTAGAAAAAGAGAAAGAGGGTAAAAAGAACGTGTACCATTTCTTCCATATAGCATTGATGTCTTCGTTTTTTTTTTCTTGTATATACAGAGACTAAAATGTATAACAAAGCTAGCATACAATATACAATATAGATTACATTGTAATTACATATATATATATATATATATATATATTAGGTACAAATAAAACTACGACGTGAAAGCCGTTACTTTGGTGGAAGACATTTAATAAAACGGTGGTACGCAGCTTCTCCTACCGTTTGTGCGCAGAGCTTGTATGTAAAGCTTATGTAAAAAATATCCTATATTTATATACACGCTTCGCAAGAAGCCTTAGTTTCTTTTAAATCAATTTATAAACAGTCATCGGTTCCTTGCACACGCGCACGCAAGCATTACGACTTTACCAACCTCTTTACGACTCATACCAAATGTGATAAAAGAGAACGCGTTATTTTTTCAAATGCTATCAAATGAATGTCTGTAGTGTATCTTGTATTGCGTAGATTCTATATAAAAACTACTTTGTATATGAACGACCGCTTTCATACTAGTTCGTTTGTTGTACAATTTATAATACTTCAAAAAGAATCTTATAACTTTCTTACCTTATTAATTTGACTATTCTTACTCTGTAGATTTAAATGCAGTAATGTGTGATACTGGCGTGTGGATTATTTATAATAAATATATGCTATGGCATACGTAACACAATATACAAAGATATAGGACATATTTCATACCTTTCCGTAATTATTTAGGCTAAAGTAAAATGATACTAAGCATTTGGATTTTTTCTCATTAGATTCAGATCGAAGTCCATCATATCTTTAACTAATTCCTGCAACAGCACAATAAATAATCAATGAATCGATTGAAAGTGTACAATTTTTGGAACAAAATAAAACAAACCAAACGTAAATGGAAACAAACCTCGAATGTAACCGTCGGTTTCCATCCAAATTTCTCCTTGGCTTTAGTAGCATCACCCAAAAGAACATCCTAAAAGAAAGATATCGAATATACATAAGGCTAATCGAATCTGTCTTTCATAGTAGCATTGCTGCTATTGGATCCTTACAACTTCAGTAGGTCGGAAATATTTCGGATTAATTCGTACTAATACTTTTCCGCTCTCCACGTCTTTCCCTGTTTCGTTAACTCCTTCTCCTTCCCACTTAATACTACGTCCAACGTACTGGAATCCAGCCTCTACAAATTCTCTTACACTGTGAGTTTCTCCCGTGGCTATAACATAATCATCTGGGGTTGATTGTTGAAGCATAAGCCACATTGCCTGCAACGCGTGTTTCAATCAAATTAATAGATATCTATATTAGAATACTCGAGTGAAAATGAAGTACTCACTTGTACGTAATCCTTAGCATGACCCCAGTCTCTTTTAGCGTCAAGATTTCCTAATTCAAGAACATCTTGCAACCCTAAATGTATCTTTGCTATAGATCTTGTAACTTTTCTCGTTACAAAATTTTCTCCCCTTCTAGGACTTTCATGATTGAATAATATACCATTGCAAGCAAACATATTGTAAGCCTCTCTATAATTAACTACGATCCAGAAGCTATACAATTTGGCGCATGCTAAAAATGTCATAAATAATAAGTTACAAAAAATAGAAAAATTCTACAGAATGCACTTACCATATGGGGAACGTGGATAGAATGGAGTTTTTTCATTCTGTGGTACTTCTACTGCCCTACCATAAAGTTCAGAAGTCGATGCATGATAAAATTTGACCGACTTTTCTAAACCACACGTTCTTATAGCGTCTAGTAATCTCACTGTTCCCACAGCATCTACTTCTGCAGTATACTCGCTTACTTCAAAACTAACCTAGATAATATATCAAAACATTAGTTAGGTAAGAAAAATATCATTGATATCTAGCTATAACGTAGATACTTAATGAAATTTATACCAACCATAACATGACTTTGAGCTGCAAGATTATAAATTTCAGTTGGTTGCACCGAACTGATTACTTTAACCAAACTACTCGAATCTGTCATGTCTCCATAATGTAATTTCATTTTACCCTGGCGATGGCACTTAGGATCCTCGTATAAATGCTGAATACGAGCAGTATTAAAGGAACTTGCTCTCCTAATAATACCATGCACATCATATCCCTTTTCTAATAAAAATTCAGCTAAATAAGAACCATCCTAAAATAACAAGAATTAATACATATTAATAATCAAATAAAATGTAATTAACCAGTTGAAGATATTTAGATTAATCTATAATAATACACAAAAAATGACAGATTCATAAAAATGACAGCTAGACATTTGTTATATCAAATGTAAACTTACTTGTCCAGTAATACCAGTAATTAATGCCACGCGTCTATCGTCTCCGGTTGCCATTTTAAACAAATACTAATTAGTCCTTTTTATTTTTATGCTAAAAAACGAATGTGGTATTTCGTCCGTATCAGTAATATTATCACTGTTTATCAGCATTGATAGTAATAAAATAATCATTACTAACACTGATTGTGTGTGTGTGTACAATCAACTTTCGACTCGATAGTAAACTGAACATGCAACTATCGATATATCGAAAATTCAAATTAATCAAATTGTCGAACTTCGTCGACATATTGTATAATTTAGCTGACAATAATGTAACTTAATATTTTTTTAATGTGTCAACTTTTCTTACTTTTATCAAACGTATTCGAAATGCAGTCTACATATAAAAAAAAAAAAAGTATTTCATAATATTTAATATTTTATTTTAGCTGCATAACTAGATGGCGCTATGAAGTGACAATAAAATGATGTCCTATTACTCCAGTAAGTGGAAAGTATTAGATAAAAGAAAAGACATTGTAAAATATTTAAATGTGTATTCTTAATGTCCCTAATTTTCCACAATAAACTTTTTCTTGTCAAGAATATTTTTAACAATTTGTTCTAATTTAAAGCAAATGTTCATAGTGGTAATACTGTGTATAAGGGTATTCGTTTTACCACAACGTTGGCACCACCAAGGTGGTATCCAACACATGACCGGCAATAAGTGTTTTTATCAAAATGAAAAATAATATTCAAAAATTAACAAACTTCGTAAGCAAAATTCTTTATGGGCATAAGACTTTCAATAATGTAAGTGCTAAACTTGAAAGTGCAGTAGCTAACACAAAAGATCAACTTGCTAATGTAAGTATAAAACTCAAATATTTAATATAGAATGATATGATATTGGTAATATGTTGATCATATGTATTTTAGCATATCAAAAATTTAAATATTATACAGGAATTTAAAGCGGTACCATTGCAATCAGAAAAACCAATGCCACATAGACTCGTTATTTGGTGGCAATGGTATCAACAATTGACAGGTTTACATTCCGTGGAGAAAGCTAGACAACAAGTCATTTTATTACAAGATCTTTTAATGAAATGCCAAGAAAAGAGACGTACTGCTCGTCAAGAAGCATTTATGATAAATAACAGAATAAAAGAAATATATAGCGAGATGTTAAGCACAAAAAGAGAGGATCCAAAGTACGTCAAATTGACGATGGAAGAAAATAATAGTCTCCGAGAACAAAGTATAATTACTGAAAAATTAATTTTATTAGAAGAAGAAGAAAAAGATAATTTTTTATATTTAACAACCACTATTAAAGAATATCACGATGCCCAAACAATGTATTCTCATAAACACAAGTATGTAACTATCTTGGCAACTATAACTTCTGCAATATTATCAATTATATGTTCACTGATATATCAAAGTAAAAGGTCAGAGGACATGGAGACAATTCTATCTTTATTACAAAAAAATAATGAATCTAATATTAAGAAAAATTTCGATTCCTTAAAACAATATTTCGAAGGCAAAATGTCTAATGATACATCTTCAAACCAAGTACAAGAGCAATCACAAAATACGTGGGAAACTACTAAATGGGCTTTATATATAATTACAGCTATTCTGGCCTTGAAAATGTTAAACTTCTAAAAAAGCTGAACTTTCGGTGAAACAGTTTATTCTATATTATTTTTTCCGAATATTTAAATATAGTAGCGATAATAAAATAAGTTGTTTTGTTTATTTTTTAAATATTTAATTGTATATTTAAAAGAGTAATTAATATTTTCAGAACTGTATATAGATGAAACTTATATATAATATTAGTTGAAATACTAATTCAAGAAACAAATTTATTTGTGTCCTCTTACAAGTTCTCTTCTTATTTTTCTATTTTTGTATTAATCTTATATTAATCTTAAGATTAATAAACAGGTGTATACTTCAACGATATAAACTTTAACTATGTATAAATTTGATTTTTTTAGAAACAATGATTGAATTAAATTACAAACAAACAAAAATTGACAGAAGATCAATTGGAATAGGTTTTAAAACTTATTCCACAATACAGAAATTTGTTATATTTCAAATTGTTCTAATAAGTTAATTAAAATATGTTTTCAAAAAAACTTCAAAAAAAATTTGCATGAATTATTTATGCGTGTCTTTATTTAGGTAAGCAAACTTTTTATTGATTCCATGATTTCCATTCCATTCCATCTGGTAGTTTTCTTTCAACCGTCCCTTTACCTACCACTGACCAGTTTGTACTTAAAACGGTACCACCTGACTCTAGCTGTTTTATTCAAAGAAAAGAATCAATCACCATCGCTATCTTCGTATTTTTCAATTCACATGTCAATAATATTTGAATTATATTTCTTTCATGAAGTATTTGTTGTGTCATCAAGCATGCTACTTACAAAAGATTTATTCATAGCACGTCTAACTTCGTCAGAACCACTACCATATATCTGTTGGAAAAGGGCATTAACAGCAGCTTCTCCTTCCGGTTTTTCCTCTGCCTCTTGTTTTTCTATTTCTTTTTCTACCTTGTTCCAATCTTTAGATTTTTTAGAAGAACTCGGATACTTTGGTGGTTGATTACCACTTTGAAGTATTTCTTCGAAAACATTATTGAATGACTTAGGTGGCTGAAAAATACTCAAATTTCCAATTGTAAGGAATAATTTACAAGGAATTTACCTGGAGGTATTGGTTCAACCTCTTTTTTGACTGGATTTCCCTCTAAAATGCTCCACCTTATGCCATCCTGCTTCTTCAACTTGATTTCTATTTTAGATGTTAATATTTTGTGTGAACATTGATCTGGTACTACTGGATGAGCCAAGTCCAATTCCAAGCTATAGTCGCTACCAGAAGGTAGTTTCGCTGAAACACTTAGCTAATAATTATTCAAACGTGCTTTAAAAGGTCTACATAGAACATTGAATTGGACAAATATAATACATTAAATAGCACTTTTACATACCGTAGTCTTTCCATAATCAATTTTTACACTTTCTGTATTTTTGGCAAGTATTGTGATGATAATATGTGTTTCTGTTTGATACCAATCATGCTTGATCTTCGGGATTGGCATCTATAACAAAAGCACTGCTAGCTATATATGATTTTTAAATACACAAATAACTAAAACACATTTGTTATTAACAGCAATAATATTAATTAAATAATCCTTACATCATTTTCTTGAGTTTTAATTGATCCATCTCCGCTGGCCATTTAACCTATTAAATTTCAAACTTTTGAGCACTGACAAGAAAACAAGCTTTCTCGAATTTTCAGCTCCTTAAGAACGATTTGCTCCGAATGTTTGATTGTGTTGGTATTGGTTATATTTACAGATCATTTTTTAATGTTGGTATGAGCTCGAAAGTTCAATAACCAATCAACCGCTTCAGTCTTGTAAAGTTATAATATCGTGATATTTTTCAATAAAATACTTTTCTTTATGTAATATTATGCTAAAGCCTTGTAATATTAGATAACATATTAAATAGATGATCTAGCAAAAAAGCTGTAATATAATATCTGGCATAATGGAATTTTTTAACAAGAAACTTTCTTCTCTTGATCGTCACGCCACGTAGGCATGCAAACTGATACTAATTCCACATAATTTCTAATGGCTGCCAACTCATCAGAAGGTTGACTGAGGAATAATACATCTTAGAATATTTTTAGGAACATATCGTTTATTTTCAAGTATTTCAGAAATTTATTAACTTATATTGTTGAATGAAAGCAAAGTAACAATGGAAATTCTAAACATTGGGATATTTCTTTTAATGTCAATTATAACAAATGTCAACTGTATCAATTGGTACTTGGAGCCAAATACTCACAAGTGTTTAAAAGAAGATGTTCAAGCAAATGTATTAGTTATGGGAGAATATTTTGTTTCTGAAGAATTCGGTCAAAAAGTTGATTACGTGGTACTTGTTCTTTTTATTCTCCTGAAAATTTTGATTATAAAGGACTATCCTACAATATGTCATAATTATTTACTTGATACTAGTGTATTACTGTCAGTTTCGCTGTCACTTTTATATGTCTAGAAATGATTTGTCTATTCATTTGTATTTTAGATCAGAGATACCAATCAACATATCCTTTCTCAGAAGGAAGATATTCCACATAATAAGCTATTAAAGTTTTCATTTATTACCGAAACAGCAGACACCTTTGAAATTTGTTTTATTTCACGTGTACCAAGTCGTAAGTTAATATTTCCCATAATATAATATATACAATATGCATTACTATGAACACGAGGTATTATTGGAGATATATTCAGAATTATATTAAGTTGTAATATTAATTTTTCCAGATCAACGTGGCGTGAAACAAGAAATAATGCTTACTACAAAACGTGGCATTGAAACAAAAAATTATGAAGGTGTAAGTTATATAATGCATTAAAATTAAATTCAAACGATATCATCTGTTATAATTTGCTAATGAACAAGTTTATTTATATATATATGAATTATTAATTTAGATTGCAGAAGTAGCTAAATTAAAACCCGTGGAAGTAGAATTGAAACGTTTGGAAGATCTATCTGAAGTCATAGTACAAGATTTTGCAAGAATGCGAAAAAATGAAGAGGAAATGAGAGATACTAATGGTATTAGCATATTTGGATTATTTGTCAAGATCAAAGTGGTGGTAATGTGATTGGAATGTTAAAACATTTATTTTCATTAATATTTATTTTCTTTTCTTTCAGAGGCAACCAATGCTCGCGTCTTGTATTTCAGTATATTTTCTATATGTTGTCTTTTAGGACTCTCTACTTTGCAAGTCTTTTATTTAAGACGTTTTTTCAGAGCAAAGAAATTAATAGAATAAAAAAATATATATATATTATACATATATATATATATATATATTTTTTTTTTAATTCGGATCATATTGGACATGTATGTTGTGTAAAATACATTTTGAAATATAAAATAATTTTTTAAATAATCGAATTGTATTAAAAATACATAAATATGTCATGCCTATCATTAATAATACTGTACAGTGATATCTAATCATTTCTTATATATTTGTTAAGTATAAATCTAGTAAATACGAAACAATTAATTCGATTATTTTCAAATTTTCATGCCAATTAATTAACAATTTAATGTATCAAATAAGTGTGTACTATTCGACTCAAAAGATATATCTATAATAGATTGAATAAATCTTTAATAAAATACACGATTTGAAAATTGCCGCGGTTTGTGACGTAACAGTAACGGCAGCCATATTGCATTTTCTGGTCAATGAAAACGATTTCGATATGAATGTATTGTGTAACCTACAATTGCTTATTTACCGTTTTCTTTTCCGTCACCTCACGTCAAGTCGGTAAAATCACGTTTAGGTTAGAAAAATGGCCAAATTAAGACGAATGGCTTGGGGTCTTTCATCCAATTTTGCATCTAATCGTTACTTTTCTCGTTTGTTAACGTGAGTAATTCTTTATGTGAATTTTACTGTTACTCATACTTAAATTTTTATCGTTGAAAAATTTTATATTTGTCGAGTTGTTGTTTGATTGAAATAAAAAAAAAAAAAAAAATAAATTTGTTCATAAAAGGAATGATTTTTTCGGTAGTAAAGATTTATTGTTTAAATCTTTTCAAAATCCACAGTGCACCATGGTGCAATGTCCACACAGCTTCATCACTTAATGAAGTTTCTACGAATACTGCTGTTGACACCGATGCTGCTGCATTGATTATCAGTGATAGCTGTGCGAAACGTCTCAAGGAAATAGCAAAAGAAAGTGCATGTTTGAGGGTTACCGTAGAAGGTGGAGGCTGCTCTGGATTTCAATATAAATTTGATTTGGATTCAAGCATAAACGAAGACGACAAGTAGGACTTAAGAATGCAGTGTAGTGTTTGATATGTGTGAAAAATGTATAGATCTATAGATTCAAATGTATAGATGCATTTCTGTTGCAGAATATTTCAAAAGGATGGTGCTAAAGTGATTATAGATTCAACGTCATTAGAATATATCAAAGGGGCTACTATAGAATATCACACAGAGTTAATACGTTCTGCATTTAGGATCATTAATAATCCTTTAGCAGAACAGGGATGTAGTTGCGGTGCTAGTTTTTCTATCAAAATCAATTAATTTCCTTACTACTGGGGTTTTTTTTTTTAGCTATACGTTTATAGAGAACTACTTTAGATATGTAATATTTATAAATTTCTGCTATTTTAGGATTGACCTTTTTTTCTTTCGAGTGAATATTATATATATACCGAGATTCACAAAATAAGAAACTTATGTACAGACAAACCGTAAATATAAGTGTTATAAAATGTTGTTTGTAAGTTAAGTGTTTCGAATAGCAATGGTAGATGAGATTAGATTTATGAAGCGTATTATTTTATTACACCGTTATATTATCTTTAATAACGTATATTTCCTATCTAATACTTCCTTCATAATCTTTTCAAAAAACATATTCAATTGTAATATTTTATTTTGATTTCATAAATAACATAACATAACATAACGTAACAGAATCAGAGAGCATTGTAGCCTGTTTCCTTCTTGCTAAAAATCAGAGTATGAGGACAGATAATATATTGTTCGTTTGGTATGAATTCCTTATATACATAACTTTAAATTGATCAATGAATATGATTATACTAATGTTGTCAATGGAATGTCTCTGATCAGTGGTCAATAACTGAATGTAAATCATTTTGGTTTTCCTTTCCTATTGTTCTATAACATAATAGTTAAGAGACATTAATTGATATCTTAGAATATAACTGAACAAAGTATTAAATGTCTTGTACCTTGTTTGCTAATTCGAATTTTAATTGTTGAATTTCTTCCGTCTGACAAATAAGTTTATCATTCATATTAGCAAGATGTTCGCTCATGGTACTGAGTTGTGCTTTATAATTTCCTTCTTGTGTCTCTTTATCTTTTTGTAAGCTATTGCAGTTAGATAGAGCTTCCAAAAGTGCTAACTCACATTTTTCTCTTTTCGATTCACACGTTTCCAAATGTACATTTATCACTTCCCTCTAAAATAGTAGATATCATCATTTTGTAATCAAAAATTCAAATATTAAGAAGAAATAATGTAAAGGTCTTTGTAATTACATTAGCAGCCATGGCCAAATTTTTAACATGACAAATGTGTTTTTCCATTATTAATTTATTAATCTCGTCAAGAAAGTAGTCTCTTATTTTTGCTTCGCGAGCTTCTATTTCCTCGGGTAATGCAAATGGTGCCTGTAATCTTCCAATCTGCAAACAAGGCAAGAAACGTTAGACGATAGGAAAGGAATCTAGAAATAAAAAGAAAAACTACCATATTATTTATTTCCACAGGATTGAGAGATTCTTTAGCGACTGATACATTTGCTTCTTGTTCCTTATGTTCGTATTCATCGTATTTTATTTTAATCATGTGATATTGTGTTTTCCAATGATGCAGTTCTTTTTCTATGTCATAAGATTTGGAAGATTCATAATCATTTCTTTCGTCTGTTAATTTTTGAACTTTACTATCGTTTAAAGATTTAGATGATCTACGTGATGGAGATGGCGATGAAACCGGAGAAGAATCTATTTGATAATGATTAGAAAGTCCTGCTCTTTGTTCACCATCGTATCCTTCCCTCTTGCCTTCAGTACTAGACCAAGATATAGTTTCTTCTTGTCTTTGCTTTTCATTAAGTTTTCTCTGTAAATCATTTCTCTCCCTGTCCAATTTATCTATTTCTCTGCGATGTTGACAATCTAATTCTACTTTAGATTTTTCAACGTGTTCCAACTTATATTCCAATTCTTGTATTCTTTCGCTTAAACTTTCAATTTCACTATCTTTATCTGCTATTTGCGAAAGCAATTGAGCATTCTCAACTATCTTCTTTTGAAATTCTTCGTCTAAGATATGGTTCGATGAGACAGGTACTTGAGTATTATTATCCGATAGCTTGCTTTTCCCTTTCCTAGATTTATTTTGTGCTTTGTCAAGTTCATCCTGCAATACAGTTATTCGTTTGGTCAACTGTTGATTGCGAAAAGTCAGACTATCTATTTCTTGTTCCGCTCTACGAAATTCTACTTCTTTCTCTTTTAATTGTTCACGTATTTCCACATTACGTGCTTGTTCATCTATCACAGCCTTTCTTAGAACGTTCGCCTGAGCACGAATCTGTGAATAAAGTATTTATTCCACAGGTTTAAATAGTTATCCTTCAAAGAAATATGGCTGTATAGATTGAAGAAGTAACAGATGGTAAGCGATAAGATTTTTATTCAAACGTAGATTTACGTAGTTACATTGGATTTACTTACTTTCGAATATTCCGTTGCTATCTTTTGATATTTTGTTTGCAGTTGCCCATCGACTCCCTCCATAACTTGACTCTACCGTCACGTTCTTATCGTGCTACTCTAATTTCGTGTATATATCAATTTAACAATCTAGCATTGTTATAATATTTGTTGCCTAGTACTTCCTGTTTTAAGGCATACATCAACCCCGTTCGTAAATGACACCTTCCGCGAATAGTTCATAAGTCTGTGGAGTAAGTAACAATCGAACTCAAGGAAGCCACACTATGTGAGACACCGTATCAGTTACGAAAGCTTACAAGCAAGCACTAAACGAGCACGAAGCATGCACGAAGAGCTTAAACAGAACGTCCCAGTATCTTCTTATCTTTTATATATCGAATTTGATACTCGGTGCAACAGCACACACCACCGTCAAATGACAGCCAATTGTCAAGATACGCCGTCGCCGCTGCTGCATCGGGAACAACTTAATCACCCTTATATTTTACGGATTTATTTGGATTTTATTCAATCGGTACTTCACCGACAGTAGGAAAGATTTACATCCAATTTACATCCACAAAAATCCCTACTTTTTGTCTTTAATTCTCACGATCGGTTGATAATACGGAGGAACGCTATATAAATCGATAATTTCATATTTATTATATTTTTTTTACCATTCATTTTAATTCAATATAATATAAACAATATTCGCGGTAGATTTGAAAATCTCGTGCTTAATATCGATTGGTTGTTCGTCCAAGTAAACGCTTCTTATTTCTACCGATAGATGACACTCGAAACAGTCGCGTTGATTGGTAGGATCGTTTGGAACGCGCGAAAACAATCATGGCACTTGCTGTCCAATTTCATATAGTTACGTTGAGTTTTGTGCAAGTTTGTCCTTTATAATTTAATATTGGTGGACTTTTTTGGCAAGATTTTCATCGACGCCTGGAACAAAGTTCGTTTCATTTACAAATAATCTAACAGTAAGGTTCTAACAGGTAAGAAGAACTAGATATATTACTGTATTACTAATACTACTGTTATTGCAGTTTCTTGTAATGTTCTGTCATGATCGCTTGGCGAACATCTCTCGATAGATAATCGTTTAATTTAAAATAATCCTATGTATTTGTTCTTATCGGCCTAGAACAAAATATTGCAAGTTTTTTTTATTAGAAATGCGTTTTTTCCAAGTACGTTTGTAATAGATTTAAACACGTTACGAAATACCTTAGCAGCGTGCGATATAAGTAAACACTAAACATATAGTAAACACTTTGATCATTTAACCTTGTACAGAATAATAGGAATCTAAATAAGAATATAATGTATCTAATTCTGTTTATCAGTTATGTCTAGAATATGAACGCAAAGTTACATACGAGGATTAACTATAGAAAGCAAGTAATATAATAAAAATTACGTTGTCGATATATTTATCAAAGTCTTACGATTTATAACTCGAAGATAAGCAGCATTTATTGCTATCGTTTTGTGTCGTCCTTCGATTTTGTTATTTGCGTGTCAATACTCGAAGACATCCGAAGACAAGTCTGATTGCTGATAAAGAAGATCGACGAGATTATATATATATATATATATATATAGAAAGAGAAATACTAAGAAAGAGAGAGAAAGAGAATGAATAGGGAGATAGTCCATTGCACAGTTTGCAATTTTAATGCCGGTTATACAAGAAGGAACATTCTCCACCCTCCGAAGGCTCCTGCAAGCCTTTTATGCCGGCGAAAACGCTGAATTTACATTTCCGCTTTTGTGAAAACCACAGACACGCTGATGTCGCTTATTAAACATTCTGAAAGTCTGTTAGAAAGGACGGTTTATATTCTTCATCTCTTTCTATATTTCCCTCTCGACTCTATCTTTATCCAGGTTCATTGCTTCCTTACGAATCTGTAAGATTTTTCTAAACTTTTGAGATTTGATTCTGTCTCACTTTCACTGTCTCTCATCTTTTTATGATTACACACTCGTAGTAGGGTGTACAAGAGTGTCATTCATGTTTAATTACGTGTCCTTTCTCTCCATCTCTTTCCCTTCATTTGTTTTTTTTTTATCGACCGTTGGTGTTTATGCGAAACGCGATACCGTGTCCGAAGTAAAATTACACGGGGAGCTAATTGCACATTTAGGTATGCAGGACGTGATTCGCGCGTGAGGAAGAAAACGTGCTACGACCGTTGAAATGTTGAGATTTTGTAAGTCGAATCGAGAGGGAATGAGTCTTAACGTTCATTTAAATACTTTTGCTAGTCCTCGTTATTCGTCTGTATCGAGTGAACAATAATTCTTCACAATTTTCATTTCAAATAGAAAAAAACGAATAAGAAAAAATCCATTATAACGATTGGACAATGTTGTCTAAAGTATTTCATTGCAACAGGTTTCTTTTTCCTTTTTTTTTTTTTCAAGCGAAAACTTCTTTAGAGTCGGTCAATTTAATTTAAGCTATCACTGCGCAGGTGTGATAAAAAAATTACATTAGAATACAAAAAATACAAAAATCAGAACGTTTTTATCTTAATTTCTATTTATTACAAGTAATACACCCGTTATATACATGCAAGACATTTGAAAAGTCATATAAACTACATTGAATAGAAGAATTTTGATAGAGGACAATCCGTTGGTCTGAAGGTGAATTTCGAAGAGGACGGTACTCCGATCATATACTAGATGATTTTAAACAACAATAGAAACTTCTATCTATTAAATAACAATTATTTTAATATTTTAATGCACTTTACTTATTTACAGCACAAATTTACTCTCGAAGTCACAGTTTTTAATGACGTATTTCCGTTTCACCGATTCTAAAGAAGTTTTCATTTCAATTGTTTATAATTTTAAAGCAGAATAAATTATTTGTTTGTTCGCTAATATTTTGTCATGATATTAGGCAAGCTCATTAGTTGAAAGTTCGTTATCTTAATGCAAATACTTGCGAAGGTACATTTGTTTTCAGTCGAGAACCGTTCATAGATTCTCTTGCAAACTATGTCGGCATTCGCGGCGGTCATGTAATTTATGG